TTTATTAATTTATTATTTATATTATATTTATTTAATCATCAATTTTTTTTTGTATTTCAGTGTATTTTAAAAACATACTATCGTAATTTCTTTGATATATTTTATATTTTGTCGTATAATTAACGGTTTACTATTGCTTCGAAATAGCGACGGCTTGCTGAATCACTGAAAATTCCGTCGGTGTTACGGGTGGCTCTTCAATGTTTACCTGTGCCCATTTTCCGTTGGTGGAAATATTTAAACCCTAAAGTATCCAGCGTGGTTAAGTTTATGTTGACAGCGCTAATCACACGAAATATTTAACTGGGATTTGGTGAATTTTTAGTTCGAGCACAATTAGCACTGGGAGATCACAAATCACAAATCAAAATTTGACTAACGCACGCGAAAAATTGTTGATTACGTTTGCCGACGCAAAGGACGACGACGCAAAGGACGACGACAACGACGGCGACGACGACGCAGCTGCTGCGGAGCGGATGCGGATCGTTTCGGCTGACGGACCAACTGTGAATGGCGCAGCCAGCAGTGGCTGAAGCTGAACCGGTGCCGCAGCCAAAAGCAGAGCAGAGCAGAGCAGAACAGAGCAGAGCAGACCGCCAATTACGAAAGTGAAGCTGCCAAAGGAGAGGTCCTTTTTTGCAGTCAATTTGACAGGATGCAGAGCAAAGCCAAAGGCAGCCAACAAAAAAAGAAAAAAAAAAAAAAGAAAAAGAAAGAAAACCCACCCCAGCCACCCACCCACCCTCGGTGCGATGCTACGGCAAAGCCACAGCACAGGACAGGACAGAGCACAGCACGGAAAAGCCCGAAACCGAATGAGGAAAAGGCAAAATGAAAATGTGGAAAGCGCAGCGCGTTGCGAAAAACCAAAACGTCGACGAAAAAGTCGAAAATTTACGAAAAGCTACCAAATGTTACATTTCATCCCCTGCGAGAGTGGGCGCCACAAAGGGTATGCAACGGCAAAGGACATGGCTCGGGCAGAGGCGGGCAGCCAACCGGAAAACGCCCTTTTTTCTGCGCCTGCCGCCTGATGCGATTACAGCAAATGAGGAGACTTCCTGCCGTCCACCATTTTCCAACTTTTTTTTCTTTGCACACACACACACACACACACCCACATAGAGACTCACACGCACATGCACACGCACACGCACACAGCGACATATCCTGTGGCTTTCGACAATTCACCACAAAATGTCAAGAATGATGAAAAGCTAGCGACGGAACGAGGCGACATCGTCGTCGTCGTAGCTGGAGTCGCTGACGTTGACGTCGTCGTTTGCCTGTGTATTGGTAATGGCATCTGTTGTCTTGCTCTCTCTCGCTCTCTCTTTCCCTGGCTCTTTGTATATATGTGTCCTGCTTGCGCCTGGCCTCTTCCACTGTGTACCTCTGTATTTGTGCCACAGCAAATATCTTTGCCGGCAGAGGTCGCTGTCGTGACTGCTGCTGCTGCTGCTGCTCTTCGGGCTGATGCCTCGCTGGCTTCTCTTCTGCCTCTGCTACTTTTTTCCTTTTATTCTTTTTGTCTTATTTTTGGTTCGTCCTGCGCTTGTAGGCTGTCGGATTATTAGTTCTAAAGTCAGGATCTCAGCTGTGAGTGGCGCTACAATTTTGGGGCATATGGGAACAGCCCAAATGTGGAGTGAATTGAAGAATGGAATAAAGTGGGGGAAATATGATGTGTAGCTTGGATGGACAAGTTTAGAAATACATATATTTCAATTATATATTATTATTCCAAATAATTATTTATACAAATATTTACATTTTTATTATATCATATGTGTTATATATTTATATCATTTATTTAAAATATATAAATTTTTAGTTGTATTAAGCTGAATGGCATTAAGTCGATAGTTAAATAGTATGTATTTTACATAGTATGTATTTTTTATTGGAAATAAACATTATAGTGGTATTTTATTAATATTAATAATTTAAAATTAACAATAATATCTTGAGTTGGGTTTTAGGACAATGCTCTACTGCATTTTGCTCAACACAGAAATGGTAATCACGGCTCAGAAATCTGTTTTAAGAATTTTCCAATGCTATAATCAACAACTGTTTCGAGTTAGTCATATTTTGCCCATAAAATCCTATCAGCAATAACTTTAATTATTTTGAATTATTATTCTATAAAATGATTAATTAATCTGCTTGCACTTTTGCATACCACTGTATGTACCAAATTTTATTTATTAATATTTTTTTATGTATCATATTATCTTCTAGCAAACTTATATATGAAATATGTATATTGTAGTTCCTTCAATGATTCTGTGTAGCGTATTCAGTTGGGGATAGTCAAAAATATGTCGTATGCATGCTATATGTATGTATGCATTCAGCTATGTATATATATGTGCGTGTGTGAGATTTTCATGTATGTGTGTGTATGTGTGGCGCTGCGAGAAATTCGCAATGGCGTTTCCTGGGCTGGCACTGGCTGGTTGTTGTTGGTATGTTGATAGGGGTTGATTTACTGACTCGCATCTAAATTGAAATGACTTTTGTGACATTGTGTATTGGTTGCACACACACACACACACACATACACACCTACTTTTATATGTACATGTATATGTATATATTCTTATATAGTGAATAATTTTGCGTAGGCAGGAGTCAGCTTAGCGGACAACGTCTTCTATATCTATGTATATATATATGTATAAAAGTATGTATGTATGTATATATGCATGTATGTTTGCCATTTTGTGGGTGGAGTCTTGTAAATCGGTATTTTGGCTATAACTAGCGGAAAGGAGCGCGGCAGCTATTACACAACCCATTTGGCAGCCGCCGGTTATATAGCCGCATATACTGTTATACACTAATCCAACCATTCCACACACTTACACATACAAACTCACATACACATAGGCACGTTGAGTCCAGCCCGTCGCTTTGATACAATCCTGCGGTTATATTAACCAGTCAGAATGCAAAGTCATTTGACGCAACGCCAGCGTTAACTCATACTCCACATCCGCTGCTCGGCATCTCCTCCCATCAAATACACACACACACACATACGTACACATATACACATATATGCACACTCACATGCCAAATTTGCGGCATCAAGAAGTCGCATTTTTTCTATGCCCCAAAAACTCTCCGACCTCGCTTCGCTCTCCGACCCACCACAATTATCATTGTGTGAGTGCTTGGCATTTAGCCACGCCTCTTAGTGCAGAAAACTCACCACTTTATCAGTTGCAGCGCCTGCGCTCTGCTCTCAGTTCGAATTGTCGTAGATTCGAATGAAGTTCGAAACGTAGCAGGCGAACGAATTGCTGTCAGCGCTGCTCGGCTTAACCCCTGAGCGCTGTGTAGTCGACTAGCTCATTCTTTTCATATACCTCAAACAAATCAGAAGTGTTTCAGCACTTCAAAAGTTTTTTCTTTTTGTTATTTTTTCTTTTTGAAAAATAACGCACCGATTTGCCAGCTGTGAAACGGAATCTTTGCCGGTAAACTGAAATCAAATAATGAAAAAAAAGCTAAATAAATAAAATAAAAATTATACAAAAATTGTATTTTCAGCACAAAGCAACAAATCACCATGGACGGATACTCGCAATATAACAATTCCCAGTTCGGCTCCAGGCAATGCTTTAATTGTCCGAACGGCAATTGCTCTCGTATGGGTGGATCACCGTCATCGGGTTGCCCCGGTGGCAATTGCTGTCCTGGTGGCTTTTGTATGCGCGACAGACCCGTTCCACAGCCATCGTGGCATACGAACCATGGACGTCAGCAATAAGGAGCTGGACGCATCCATTTCTGGCAAATCGGCGCGTGATTTCAACTAAATAGAATCGCGCATTCTGAATCGGACACATCTCTCATCACTGGATGGCAACTTTGTTTAGTCAATAAGATACAATTTTTTAATGGACCCAAAACGTTAACAACACAACGACACAGAGCACACAACACATACACATTATTACATATGTATATGGCTCTCATGAGAGAAAAGAATAAAAATTATGGAATATATTTCTTTGCTAAGCTTGAGAGGGAGCACTGTTGTTTAGACGAGGTCCTCTGGTTGCTCTTATAGCAGCTCTCTCATTAGATCGCGTTGTCTCTCTTTGAGTTAACGAAATAAAGCTTTTAAAGCAGCATTGGAAGCAAGTAGTTGAGCATGTAGTGCAGTTGTATTCGTATTGGAAGTAGGCATCCAGTATAGTGTTATACTCTAGTCTACTCGTGTCCGTTGTGTGATTGTTGCGTTTGCGTTCGTGTTCGTTGTGTGATTGTTGCGTTTGCGGCTGCGTCGCTTGTTAAATATTCATATAAGTTCTATTCTATTTGTTTTAAATTAACACGTTATTTCTAAAGCAACGTTTTTTAAATGCACATTTAATTAACTTAATTTAAGAGGTTCATTTTAGTATTGGTGAGCTCCTCAGTATTCGAAGTTGTGCTTTTAGTCCCGTTATTAAGTTGACTATTCTTGCGCGAGTGTGAGTGGAAAGAGCAGCTGTGGGCTATATGTTATTTAAGTTATTCGACTTAGCGTAGGCGCGAACAGATTTAGTCGAGCGTGCGCGTATAATTTCGCTTAAATATATTGTAATTAAGGAACGATATTGTTTTTGTTCTATTCATGACGAGTTTTCATATTTTCTTCGAGAATTAAGGTATGTATAAATAATTTATTGAGCTTTTTGTCAGTTTTTGAGTTAATTTTGATCGAGAGAAATGGATTTGAGTAGATATGTTGTGCTTTTGATCTCGTCATTGTTGTATGCTTGTATGTGTGTGAGAGTGTATAGATGCATATTAGATGATGCGAGAGGAAGAACCGTTGTGATTTTGTTTTTGCATTAATGATTTCGGCTATTGATGCCGCCTGATCAACCACTGTTAATGCCTGTGTGTTCTCTTAAGAGTTGTGAGCTATAAAAGAGAGATAAAGTATAGTATAAGAGTATATTAAATAGAATAAATAAAAATTGTACTACCAAAAAAAAAAAAA